TTATATAAAACAACAAAATTATCCCTGTTTTATAATCATAAATTTTTTGCTCTGCATTAAATTGTGATAATAAAACATAGCTTTATAGAAAAAGAGCAGAAAAAAAAATTAAAATTAGAACAGTATATTATATTAATTTTGTATAAGCTAAAATTAATTTTAAAAATTTATTTTTAATTAAATAGATTGATTTTATATTAAAAGATAGTTATAAAAATTAGTGTCTTCTTTTTGTGTGAAACTTTAATCAGAGAATATTTAAGTTTCACAGAAGAAGACACTAATTTATTTTAAAAAAAATAATCTTAATGAATTATAAAAGGAACTTGATTTATTCTCTAGTATTTATATGCTTAATTGTAAATACAATTTAAAGTAAGATAAATATTTTCACTATTTATCTATTGATCAATAAATATAAATTAACTACGCTTTAAAGAAACACTTTAAATATAAAGATTTAAAGTCATATTAAAGCTAAATAAACATTTAAAGTTAATATAGATAGAATAATTGTTTAATACAGAACTAATGAATATATAATTAAACAAATATTTATATAAAATCTTATTAAAATCTAGTTAATTACAAGATTTATATGGAGCTTGTCAAAATTATATCACTAATATAATAGTTGTTTAATTATAAAAATAAACGTAATTTTAATAAAAAAATAAATGTTATATATATTGTTGCATTCTAAAAAAAAATTGAGGGCAATCATATAATTCTACAAAAAGAAAAGTAGGAATATAAACAAAAGATGTAATTGTTATTTTTGTTCTAGAATAAAAGCATAATTATAATTATATCAAATATAAAATGCAAGCGAATAAATGTTTTATACAAAAAAGGGGAAAAAAGGGGAGAAACGTAATTCTAAGTGTAAATTAGTTTTATTCTAAAATGATATCATTTTTAATAAAAATACTACAAAAATATTACATAAATAAAAATAAATATAGATTATAAGATTAACTTTAATAACATGTTATGCAAAGTTTTATCCTAGCTTGTTCTTTCACTTTTAGGTCAATGGTACATGTAAGTTTTTAGTGAGCCAATAAAATTTATGTAAACTAGAGGAATGTAAATAACGTTAAAGGTAGGGGCACCATTAAATAATAAATTCTCAGTACCTAGTACTAATTAAATAAATGTAAATTGGAATTGATGATCCTAATAATATACCTGGCTAAAATTTGTGCCAGCAGCCGCGGTTATACTGAGAGGTAAATTGAAAGAAAATTGGTTAAAAATAGTTATATTATTGATTGATAATTTCTTAAGAGCTTGTACTGATAAAGGGTGAAATCAATTTTTTAGTATACAAGGTAATAAAAATATCAATCTGAATTGAAGCTATCAAAATAAAGGAATGAACCAGGATTAGATACCCTGTTACACTTTATATAAATTATAAAATTACCTGGGTATTAAACAGCTATTGTCTTGAAACTCAAAGGATTTGGCGGTAACTTAGTCTATTTAGAGGAACCTGTCCTGTAATCGATAGTCCACGAAAAATCTTACTTTATCTTGTAGAAATCAGTTTGTATACCGTCATTATTAGATAACTTTAATAAAATTTAAAGTTGTTGGAATAGTCTAGCTAATATATTAGATCAAGGTGCAGCTTATGATAAAGAAAGAGATGGGTTACATTGTAATAAATATAAACGGAACAACAAATGAACGTTTGTTGTTGAAGGTGGATTTAAAAGTAATAAGATTTTAATAAGATCTTCTGAGTTTAGCTCTAGGTTATGTACACATCGCCCGTCGCTCTCGTTAATTAAAGCGAGATAAGTCGTAACATAGTAGGTGTACTGGAAAGTGTACCTAGAAATTCAAGATGGAGCTTGAATAGTTAAGCATCTCACTTACGTTGAGAAGTTCGTTGTGCAAATCAACGCATCTTGAAAATTAAGTCTTACTAATATTAAGCTATCATAGTGTATATATTTAAAGGTAATAAAAAGATTTTGGAGTATTATTGTTTTAGTAGAGTGAATCGAAAAAAAAATTAAAAAGAGTTATAGAATAAAGTACTGTAAAGGAAAGATGAAATAAATTGAAAATTTAATTAAAATAAAGTAAAGTTAAATACTTGTACCTTGTGTATTAGGGAGGATTAAAATAATCTTATTAGAGTAAGTAGTCCCGAAAGAAAAAGAGCTAACATAAATAAATAGTTTTCGTATTAATGAAATTATTAAATTTATGTTAGTAGTGAAATGCTAGACGATTTTTCATATCTGGTTGAAGGAGAATTAAATTAAATTTAGTTATTTTGAGGTTAAAAAAGCTTTAAAATAATAAAGAGTAGGAGGGAAGAGCTTCTTATTCTAATAATAAGTAAACTATAATAAAAGTAATTTAAGTATTACTGAATTAGGCTTAAAAACAGCCATATTAGTAAAGCGTTCTAGTTAATGTAACATCTTCGATTAATATTTATATAAGTAAAAATTTAGTAGTAATTATCCGACTCTCTTAGTTAATATGTTATTAAAAGTAATAATGATTTTATTAGTAGAAATAAACTGTGATATTATAATTTGAAATGAAAAAAAATTTCTTATTTAATACAAGATATAATTAAGGAACTCGGCAAATAATGCTTTTGCCTGTTTATCAAAAACATGTCTATATGATTGGTATGTAAAGTCTGGCCTGCCCACTGATTTATTTTAAAGGGCCGCGGTATACTGACCGTGCGAAGGTAGCATAATCATTAGTCTTTTAATTGGAGGCTCGTATGAATGGTTGGACAAAAAGCAAACTGTCTCAATTATATTTATTGAATTTAACTTTTAAGTGAAAAGGCTTAAATAAATTAAGGGGACGATAAGACCCTATAAAGCTTTACAATAAGTTACCTATATTATAAATTGTTAGTATAACTTGAGTTTAGGTAACGTTTGTTGCGTTGGGGCGACGAGAATATAATAAGTAACTGTTCTTAAGTTATTTAATGACAGAAATTTCTGGAAAATTAATGATCCTCTACTAGAGATCATAAGATTAAGTTACTTTAGGGATAACAGCGTAATCTTCTTTGAGAGTCCACATCGACAGGAAGGGTTGCGACCTCGATGTTGAATTAAGGGTTCCTTATAATGCAGCAGTTATAAAGGAGGGTCTGTTCGACCTTTAAATCCTTACATGATCTGAGTTCAGACCGGCGTGAGCCAGGTCGGTTTCTATCTCTTAATTTTATAAAAATTATCTTAGTACGAAAGGATTAGGTAATTGGAATAATTCTTGCTTTGTATGTATAAGTATAATCGGTCTGTTGCTTTGGCAGAATTATGCATTGGACTTAGGATCCAATAATGTGGGTGTTAATCCCACAGGTAATACTGTGATAACATTAATTATAGTTATTAATTACTTACTGTTGATTATTTGTGTTTTAGTAGGAGTTGCGTTTGTTACATTACTAGAGCGTAAAATTTTGGGTTATATTCAAATCCGTAAGGGTCCCAACAAGGTGGGATTTATAGGGTTGTTACAACCATTTGCCGATGCTGTTAAGTTGTTCACTAAAGAACAGACTCTACCGGTTATATCAAATTTTCTCCCTTATTACTTATCTCCTGTTTTTAGTCTTTTTGTGTCTTTAATTGTATGGCTAGTTATGCCATATGAACTGGGGTTAATAAATTTTAGTATGAGAACTTTGTTTTTTCTATGTTGTACAAGTCTAGGAGTGTATACGACTATAAGAGCAGGGTGAGCTTCAAATTCTAAATATTCCTTATTAGGAAGCCTGCGAGCGGTAGCCCAGACTATTTCTTATGAGGTAAGATTAGCTTTGATTCTACTATCATTCATTTTTTTAGTAGGAGGGTTTGACTTAAGATTATTTAGTTTATATCAGCGAGATGTGTGATTATTATGGTTTACTTTTCCGCTGGCTTTAATTTGATTTGCTTCTTGTTTAGCAGAGACTAACCGGACTCCTTTTGATTTTGCAGAAGGAGAGTCTGAGTTAGTGTCAGGGTTTAATACGGAGTACAGAAGAGGGGGATTTGCCTTGATCTTTATAGCAGAGTATGCAAGAATTTTATTTATAAGAATGTTATTTTCTTTAATTTTTTTAGGGGGGAATTTGCTGAGACCTCTTTATTATGTAAAGCTCGTAATAGTAGCATTTGCCTTTGTGTGAGTTCGGGGGACGTTGCCTCGTTTTCGTTACGATAAATTGATATATTTAGCTTGAAAAAGATTTTTACCGGTAGCATTAAATTATTTGATTTTCTTTATAGGAGTAAAGTCTATCTGTTTCGTTTTTATATTATAAATGTACTCTTTTAAGAAATAAAGTTATTAGAGGATTCGAACCTCTATTGCGAGCTTTCAAAACACGTGCTTTCCTATCAGCCAAACAACTTAATCTAGTATTTTATCCCATCAAATAAGAGTTAGAGGGTTAATGACATAGTAAGAGAAGTAGAGAACAGTAAGAATCTGCCCAGTAAGGACATAAGGATCTTCTACCGGTCGTGCTCCAATTCAGGTAAGAAGGAAAACAATTCTAACTAAAGATCAGAATATAACTTGATTCAATGGGTAAAATGTTAGGCTTCGGAACTTGGCAGCATGAGTAAATGGTAGAACAAGTAAGATAAGAATCGATATAACAAGAGCGATGACTCCTCCTAACTTGTTAGGAATAGAACGGAGAATAGCGTAGGCAAATAAGAAATATCATTCTGGTTGAATGTGTGCAGGAGTGACTAAGGGATTGGCAGGGATAAAATTATCAGGATCTCCTAAAAGATAAGGGTTAAGCAGGGTTAATAAAATTAAAGCGGCTAATATAACGATAAATCCAGTAATATCTTTAAATGTGAAGTAAGGGTGGAAAGGTACTTTATCTACATTTCTTACAATCCCAAGAGGATTATTAGAACCTGTTTGGTGAATAAAAAGAATATGAATGATAGTAGCGGCAGCTACAATAAATGGGAATAAGAAATGAAAAGTGAAGAAGCGGGTTAGTGTAGCGTTGTCTACGGCGAACCCTCCTCAAATTCATTGAACTAGGTCAGTTCCGATGTAAGGGATAGCAGAGAATAAGTTTGTAATAACAGTTGCTCCTCAAAAAGATATTTGTCCTCAAGGTAAGACATAACCTAAGAAAGCTGTTGCTATAACTAACAAAAGAATAACAACTCCCACAGATCAGGCATGTAAATATAGGAAGGATCCATAATAAATACCACGCCCTGTATGTATATATAAACAAATGAAAAAGAAAGAAGCTCCATTGGCGTGAAGAGTGCGTAAGAGTCATCCGTAATTAACGTCACGGCAAATATGAGCAACACTTGAGAAAGCTAAATCTACATGAGCTGTATAGTGCATAGCTAGAAAAAGACCTGTAACAATCTGAATTACTAAACATAAACCTAGAAGAGATCCAAAATTTCAGAGAGTCGAAATATTGGCAGGAGCTGGCAAATCTACGATGGCCCCATTCAGGATTTTAAACAATGGGTGGGATTTACGAATTGGTATTGTCATTTGTTATGATGATAAACGTAAAGGACCGAAAAAAGTGTTTGTAATTTTTACAACTACAATTAAAGTTAATAATAAATAAAGAACAATAAATAAAGTAAGATTTATAGTAGTATAATTATAAATAGAACTTAATAAAAATTGAGTAGATGATAAGTGGTTATTTGTTAATGAAGATTGCTGGATTGATATAGGAGTGTTTAGAAGAAGAGGGTCTACAAAGATTATTATAAATCCTATAAAAGTAATAAAAAAAGAGGTTAAAAAGAGAGACCCTGAGAAACTAAAAGACTCGTTAGATGCTAAAGAAGCAACATAGATAAAAAGAACTAGTATAGCTCCCAAAAAAATGAGGAATAAAATATAGGAGAACCAAAATGAATTTATAGATAGTCCGGCAGTGACACAAATTATAATGGTCTGAAATAGTAGTATAATCCCCATTGCTAGAGGGTGCAAGAGGCGAGTGAAAATGATAGAAGAAATAATAATTATAGGAGAAAGGATAATAATAAGTGAAATACAGAGAATAGTTTAATTAAAAATACTAGTTTTGGGGATTAGTGATAAGAGGTAACTCTTTTCTCTGATGCTTTAAGAAGATTTAATACTTCAATTCCGGTTTACAAGACCGATGTTTTATTTAAACTATTAAAACTAATGTTAATTCTTAATTTTTATTATATTGTGCCCGTAGTGAGAGTCATTTGCGGTTTATGAGTATTTGTTTCTAAACGTAAACATCTATTGAATACTTTATTAAGTTTAGAGTATATTATATTGAGAATCTTTTGAATTATAAGATTACATCTTTCTAATATAGGGCATGAAAGTTATTTTGTGTTGTTTTTTTTAACTTTAGCTGCTTGTGAAGGAGCTTTGGGATTAGCGTTATTGGTGTCGGTAGTACGTACACACGGTAATGACTGTTTTAGAAGATTTAGAGTATTACAATGTTAAAATTTATGCTGGCTTGTATTATATTGATACCCTTAGTTAATTCGTGATGAGCGGTTCAGAGTTCTTTATTTATCTTGACCTTTATTTTAATATTATATTGCCATCATGACTTTAGTAATTATATAGCGGGATGGTGTTTTAATATTGACTCATTAGGTTATATTTTAATTTTGTTAAGATTTTGGATTACTGCCCTTGTAGTTTGTTCAAGACAAAAAGTGCTAAAAGAAAACAATTATCCCTCTTTATTTCTGTTAGTTAACATCTTCCTGTTATTTTTTTTAATTATAACATTCTCGGCTAATGATTATCTATTGTTTTATATTAGATTTGAAAGCTCTTTAATTCCTACATTAATTCTAATTCTGGGGTGGGGTTACCAACCTGAGCGTTTACAGGCTGGGGTTTATATATTATTTTATACTTTATTTGCCTCATTACCCTTGTTGGTATCGTTGATTAGATTATATAATATAAGAGGAAGATTAACTTTAGGGTTAGTCGAAAATGTAAGAGGAGCTGGATTTATTTCCTGTATCTGATATGTAGTAACAGTATTTGCTTTCATTGTAAAGTTACCTATATTTTTAGTACATCTGTGATTACCAAAAGCGCATGTAGAAGCACCTGTTGCAGGATCAATGATTCTGGCTGGGGTTTTACTTAAATTAGGAGGTTATGGTCTGATTCGAGTATTACCTTTATTCGGAGAAGCTAATAAGAATTTATCTTGATTGTGGGTAAGAATTAGATTAGTAGGAGGAGTAGTTGTAAGTCTGATATGTTTACGACAAGTGGATATGAAAGCTTTAATTGCTTACTCTTCTGTAGCTCATATAGGGCTAGTATTATCTGGATTAGTAGTATTTGGTTGATGAGGAGTAAATGGAGCAGTTGTGGTGATAATTGGACATGGGCTGTGTTCTTCAGGATTATTTTGCTTGGCTAACATGGTTTATGAACGAATTGGAAGTCGAAGCTTATTGATTAGAAAAGGCTTAATGAATTTTATACCAAGAATAGCATTATGATGATTCTTGTTAAGAGCAGGTAATATAGCCGCACCTCCTACTTTAAACCTTTTAGGTGAAATTAGCCTGATTATTAGTGTTGTATCTTGAAGAAAGGTAAGTATGTTGTCCATTTCATTGTTATCTTTTTTCAGAGCTGCTTATACTTTATATATATTTTCTCTGAGACAACATGGTAAATACTATAGAGCTTTATTTTCGTGTTGTTCTGGCAAGGTTCGAGAATACCTAATTTTGATATTACATTGACTTCCTTTAAATGTCTTAATCTTGAAGGGAAGAACTGTTATATTTATCTTATAAGTTTAAATAGTTTAAATAAAACGTCGGTTTGTGGTACCGTAGATATGAATATTATTCATTTTAGACCATGTTATGAATAGTTTCTATATATTTATCGAGAATATTATTTCTACTTAGAGGTTCTTTGAGTTGTTTAGTTCTTTCTTTATTGTGTCTAAAAAGAGGTCAAGCTTGATTTATTGAATGAGAACTGTTAAGATTAAACTCCAGTTCTATTGTAATGACTTTAATCTTAGATTGAATATCTTTTATGTTTTTAGGATTTGTAATATTTATTTCTTCTATGGTATTATATTATAGAGGAGAGTATATACATGGCGATAGAAATATAAATCGATTTATATATTTGGTATTGGCTTTTGTCATGTCTATGGGCTTTTTAATCATTAGTCCAAACTTGATTAGAATTTTGTTAGGGTGAGATGGTCTGGGGCTAGTATCTTATGCACTAGTTATTTATTACCAGAATGAGAAATCGGCCAATGCTGGAATATTAACAGCTCTTTCAAATCGGGTAGGAGACGTGGCTATCTTGCTAGCTATCTCTCTATTTTTCAGTTGTGGAGGATGGAATTTCTTATTTTACGTTGAAAATATACCTATTATTGGATCTGGCGGACTGCTTTGCGGGTTAGTAGTGTTGGCGGCTATAACTAAAAGAGCTCAGATTCCCTTTTCCGCTTGATTACCTGCAGCTATAGCTGCACCCACTCCGGTTTCTGCACTGGTTCATTCATCTACTCTAGTAACTGCTGGAGTTTACTTATTAATTCGGTTTAGTCCGGCTCTAGAAGGGCGGTTAAGTCAAACGGTATTATTACTCTTATCTAGATTAACTATATTCATAGCCGGTTTGGGGGCAAACTTTGAATATGATTTAAAAAAAATCATTGCTTTATCTACTTTAAGTCAATTAGGAGTGATAATAAGAATTCTTTCGTTAGGTTATGCTGACCTTGCTTTTTTTCATTTATTGGCTCATGCATTGTTTAAAGCTCTTTTATTTATGTGTGCCGGGGCTGTAATTCACAGTGTAAAAGATTATCAAGATATTCGGATAATAGGGGGACTAGTATATCATATACCGTTGACGGGAATATGCATAAACTTAGCTAATTTAGCCCTATGTGGAACTCCTTTTTTGGCTGGTTTTTACTCTAAAGATATAATTTTGGAAGTTGCCTTTATATCTCCGATTAATTTAGTTTCTTTTTTATTATATGCTTTAGCGACTGGTTTAACGGTGTGTTATACGATGCGCCTAGTTTATTATAGTTTATCTGGGGATTTTAATTTGGGTAACCTGTATTCTATTAGAGATGAAGGTAAGATTATAACTAATCCTATAATGGGACTAAGAGTTGGAGCTGTATTTGGAGGAGCTACATTAGCTTGATTGATTTTTCCATGTCCTTATATAATTTGTATAAGTCCTGTTTTTAAAATATTGGCTTTAATTGTAAGAGTGATTGGAGGCGTTCTGGGTTATCTGTTAAATTTAAATGCTGTTAATTACAATCTGAATTCTTTAAAATATTATAATAGAGTTGTATTTTCTGGTTCTATATGATTTATGCCTTTCTTATCTACATACGGAGCAAGTAAGAACTTTTTAGGGAGAGGAGAAACTTATCAGAGAGTTGGAGATATAGGATGGTCTGAATATTATGGAGGACAGGGAATTTATTCTTTTATTATGAGAAGATCTAAAATTTTGCAAGTGTTCCAGGACAATAGTATAAAAATTTATATATTAAGTTTCTTACTTTGAGTGATTGTATTAGTATTTGTTGTAGTTTACCTATATAGCTTATATAATAGAGCATTGCACTGAAGCTGCAAAGGAAATTAGTCTAATTTGTAGGTATATTCTACTTATAATGCACTGTTTTTAAAAGGATTGTTTACCTTTAGTTTTACAATGAAAATGTAATGTGTTTATTACACTATAATAACAGGGACATAAACGGAGTTTAACCGCTTAAGGGAGAAGTTAGCAGCTTCTTCTTGATCCACCTGTCCCCTTGGTTAGGAGGGTTGGACTCCATTTCTATCATTAACAGTGATAAGCCTCTATTTTGGCTTTAACCAAGCAAGTAAAGGTGAGTTAACACCAAAAATCAGGCCGAAACTGAGTGCAATAGTTCGCTTTTTACTTAATGAAGTTAGCTCCTAATGGAGCACTTTTTGAGTGCAAATCAAATGTCATTGTTGACTATAACTCCAATAAGCTCATTCTAATGCTCCTTGGTTTCATTCATGGTATAATCCAACAAGAAGAATAATGATGAATACGAATCCTGTAAAGGCTCAGGCCGAAATATTTGAAAAATTGATGATCATAGCCAAAGGTAGTAATAGTGTAATTTCTACATCAAAAATAAGAAAAATAACAGCAATTAAGAAAAACCGAAGAGAAAAAGGGAGTCGGGCGGATCCTTTAGGATCAAAGCCGCACTCGAATGGTGAATTTTTTTCACGGTCTATGATGGTTTTTTTTGCTAAAAGGGAAGCAAGAATTATAACAACAGCTCTAATGATTAAAGTAATTGTAATTGAGATTAATAAAACGATCATTGCCTTTCCTAGAAATTTTCTAGACCCTCTGGTTGGAAGCCAAATATACTATTATACTAAAAAGGCATCCTCCTCATCAATAAATGGAGATATAAAGGAAGAGTCAAACTACATCTACAAAGTGTCAATACCAAGCGGCAGCTTCAAATCCGAAATGATGAGTAGCTGAAAAATGACATTTATATAAACGATATAAACAAACTATTAAAAAAGTTCTACCAATAATAACATGAAGACCGTGAAAACCAGTAGCAACAAAGAAAGTGGAACCATAAACAGAATCGGCAATTGTAAATGGGGCTTCATAATATTCTAAAGCTTGTAGTGCCGTAAAGTATATCCCTAAGAATACTGTAATGCCTAGACTTTGTATAGCCTGGGAGTGGTTAGATTCTATAATTGCGTGGTGAGCTCATGTTACAGTAGCTCCAGAAGCAAGCAGGATAGCAGTATTCAGGAGAGGAATTTGGAATGGATTAAAAGTCTGAATACCTGCTGGAGGTCAGCATCTCCCCACTTCCACGTTAGGAGCAAGTCTTCTGTGGAAGAAGGCTCAAAAAAATGAAAAAAAGAATAAAACTTCTGAGGTAATAAATAGAATTATTCCCCATCGAAGCCCAATAGTAACTGCTTTTGTATGAAGACCTTGATAAGTTCCTTCTCGTGTAATATCCCGTCACCATTGGATTATAGTGAGAGTAGTAGCAGTAACTCCTAAAATTAATAGGTCAGGATTGAATTGGTGAAATCATTTAACTAATCCCGTAGTTAATATTATAGCTCTAATTGAGCCCGTAAGAGGTCATGGTCTTATGTCTACTAAGTGGAAGGCGTGATGTCCGTGAGATGATGTCATTAGTTTATTATGTGACTTCGCTAGCATAAAGGGTTCTTAATACTGCAAATACATATGACTGAATAACTGCTACAGCAGCTTCAAGAATTAATAATAGGATCTGTCCAATAATAAGCATAGAAATCAATGTAGCTGATAAGGAAGGACCAGTTCTTCCTAAAAGAGTAAGTAATAGGTGGCCTGCAATTATATTAGCTGCTAATCGCACTGCTAAGGTACCAGGTCGGATTACATTTCTGATGGTTTCAATTAATACTATAAAAGGTATAAGAGCTCCGGGAGTCCCTTGCGGAACAAGATGAGCAAACATATGTTGAGTGTGGTTAATTCATCCGAATATTATAAAGGCTACTCATAAAGGTAGGGCAAGAGCTAGTGTTATAGTAAGATGTCTTGTGCTTGTAAAAACGTATGGAAGTAGACCTAAAAAGTTATTAAAAACAATAAGGCTAAAAAGACTAACAAATATGAGTGTAGTTCCAAAATGAGATGAACCTAATAAAGTTTTAAATTCTTTGTGAAGAGTTCTTGTAATCAAAGTTCATAATAGGGATCATCGTGATGGTATTGCTCAATAAAGTATAGGCAAAAATATCATTCCAAGGAAGGTAGATATTCAGTTAAGAGGGAGTATAAGAACTCTTGATGTAGGATCAAAGACTGAGAATAAATTTGTTATCATTTTCAATTTATTTCTACTTTTTGTAGTGGAGAAGGTGATTTTTCAATTTTTGTAGGTACTTTAATGAAATAATTTAAGATAATAAATACAATAAATGTGGTTGAAAATATAAGAAATAGGTTTAGTCATAATAAGGGAGCTATTTGAGGGATCAAAAGATATCAATGATATTGATTACTTAAGCATGACAGGCTTATGTTATGTTTAATTAACTAATCTTTTAATCATCGGAAGTAGTCGTTAATTACTATTATAGGTTTAAAAGACCTACACTTACTTTCAGTCATCCGATGAGGCTTCTCTGGAAGAAGAAATTCAGTTTAAGAAGGAATTTACTGATACTCTCTCGATCACAATAGGCATGAATCTATGGTTCGCACCACAGATTTCTGAACATTGACCATAAAATAACCCTGGCCGGTTTATCAAGAAACTTACTTGATTAAGTCGTCCTGGAATGGCATCTGCCTTAACACCAAGTGCTGGCACTGTTCATGAATGAATTACATCAGCAGCACTAATCAAAACTCGGATCTGAGTGTTTATTGGTAACACAGTTCGATTATCTACATCTAGAAGTCGAAATCCGTCCTCAGGTAATTCATTGGAAGGAATTATATAAGAATCAAATTCGACTTGGAGGAAGTCTGAATATTCATATCTTCAGTATCATTGATGTCCGATGGTTTTCAATGTTACGCTAGGGTTATTCACTTCATCTAATAAATATAACAGTCGTAACGAAGGAAGGGCAATGAAGATAAGAATCAAAGCAGGTAAAACAGTTCATACAATTTCAATAGTTTGTCCTTCTAGTAAGAAACGATTTGTGAAGGTGTTAAAGAAAAGGGTTGATATTATATAACCTACTAGTGTTGTAATTAAAATGAGTACAACTATAGCGTGGTCATGAAAAAAAATTAATTGTTCTATAAGTGGGGATGCTCTATCTTGTAAACCTAAGTGACCTCATGTTGGCATAAGTTTTCTAAAAGAAGAAATAATCTTCCTGGTAGGAGCTTAAATCCTATGCATCTGTCTGCCATTTTAGAAATTAGTGATTAAGGGAATTTCTATATAACTATGATCTGCTGGTGGAAGGTTATGCTGTCATTCGATTGAAGTTGGTAAGAATAGTGAAAAAACTACAGGCCGAGCAGCAGTTAATGCTTCTCAGACGATTATAACAAAGCCTAACACGGCAATCAGGGATACCGTTGATCCAATGGAAGATACAACATTTCATGCTGAATAAGCATCTGGGTAGTCTGAGTATCGTCGAGGTATTCCATTAAGACCTAAGAAATGTTGGGGGAAGAATGTAATATTTACTCCAATGAATATAACAAGAAAGTGAATTTTTAATCACTTAGGGTTTAAGGTAAGCCCCGTAAATAAAGGGAATCAGTGGGCAATACCTGCAAAAATACCAAATACAGCTCCTATTGAAAGAACATAGTGGAAATGTGCTACTACGTAGTATGTATCATGTAAAATAATGTCAATTGAAGAATTAGCTAGTACAACACCGGTTAAACCACCCACAGTAAATAGAAATACAAATCCTAGCGCTCAAATTAGAGAAGGACTATAGTTAAGTTGAGTACCATGAAGAGTACCTAGTCAACTGAAAATTTTAATACCTGTAGGAACGGCAATAATCATTGTTGCAGATGTAAAATAAGCACGAGTATCAACATCCATACCTACTGTAAATATATGGTGTGCTCATACTACGAATCCTAGGACACCAATAGCAAGTATAGCATAGATTATCCCGAGTGTTCCGAATGCTTCTTTTTTACCAGATTCTTGACTAATAATATGGGAAATTATACCAAAAGCAGGTAAAATTAAAATATATACTTCTGGGTGACCGAAGAATCAGAATAAATGTTGATATAAAACTGGGTCTCCTCCTCCTGCTGGGTCGAAGAATGATGTGTTAAGATTACGGTCTGTTAAAAGTATAGTAATAGCTCCTGCTAAGACTGGTAATGATAAAAGTAGTAATAAAGCAGTGATAAATACTGCTCATACAAATAGAGGTATACGGTCTATAGTTATTCCTGTAGATCGTATATTGATTACAGTTGTTATAAAGTTTACTGCTCCCAGAATAGAAGATACTCCAGCTAAGTGAAGAGAGAAAATTCCAAGATCTACTGAAGCTCCAGCGTGAGCAATACTGGCAGATAAAGGAGGGTATACCGTTCATCCGGTTCCGACACCTCTTTCAACCATTCCTCTTGATAAAAGCAATGTGAGAGAAGGAGGTAATAACCAGAAGCTTATATTATTCATCCGAGGGAAGGCTATATCTGGGGCACCTAACATTAAAGGTACTAGTCAATTACCAAATCCTCCAATTATAATTGGTATAACTATAAAAAAAATTATTACAAAAGCGTGAGCTGTGACAACTACGTTATAAATTTGATCATCCCCAATGAGGCTCCCAGGTTGACCTAATTCAGCTCGGATAATAAGTCTAAGAGCGGTACCTACTATTCCAGCTCAAGCCCCGAAGATAAAGTATAATGTTCCAATGTCTTTGTGGTTTGTAGAAAATAATCATCGTTGCGTTGGATAAAATGGCTGAGGTGTAGGCGATAGACTGTAAATCTATATACGGATTTATAATCCTTTTATCATGGCTTTGTAGTGGAAATTATAAGACGTCAGACTGCAATTCTGAAGATGCGCAAAGCGCCAGAGCTTAAAGCTTAAGAGATTTTTACTCTTTTTGATAACTTTGAAGGCTATTAGTTTAGATAACTTAAAGCTTTATAGAATGATCGTAAATAAGCTAGGAGCTAGAAGTCCGAAAATGTTCATATAAATTATTGATGGAGTTATGTAAGATGAAATCGTTGATTTTGTACTTCACTTGGTCTTTGGTCTTGAAATAGTGAGGGCTGTTATGGCTACTCGTAGATAGTAGAATAAAGTTAAGAGAGCTGAAGCTAATAAAATAGCTAGAGTAATAAATATATGAGAAGATACCATTTCTTGAATGATAATTCACTTAGGAATAAACCCAGTGAAAGGAGGTAATCCCCCCAGAGAAAGAAGAGAAGTGAATGTTAGGATTTTTATATGGGATGAGTGTGGAGTGTGATTTCCAATATGAGAAATATGGAAGACGTCTTGATAATTAAATAAAATCGCTACTGAACTGGAAATGAGACAGTAAAAAGAAAAGTAAAGGAGTCAGTTAGTTTCACTGATCAAGATCGCTGATATTATTCAGGCTATATGGTTAATTGACGAGTAAGCTATGATTTTACGAAGAAATGTCTGATTAATCCCTCCGATTGCTCCTACCAGTGCTGAGGTGATAATAGCTGCTGGAACAATATATAAAGTATTGGAGTATAATAAGTATGACAGTAATGACAAGGGAGCAATTTTTTGAATTGTTATAAGGATAATAACTTGGTTTCATTGAAGTCCTTCTATCACTCTAGGAAATCAGAAATGAAAAGGAGCGGCTCCAGCTTTAAGTAGAAGAGCAACAGTAAACAAAGTAGTGGCAAGCTCACTTGAGGACATTATAAAAGAGGCAGATATGATAATGATTGATGAACCTAAAGCTTGAATTAAAAAATATTTTAAAGCAGCCTCTGAAGAGTATTGGTTGTTTTTGGAAGAAATAAGTGGAATAAAGGATAAAAGATTTAGTTCTAGCCCCATTCAAGCACCGAACCAAGAAGAAGATGAAATGGAGAGAAGAGTCCCTAATATAAGAGTTGAAAAAAATAAAATCTGAGAGGAAGAAAGAGGAATTAAAAAGAGAGGGAGTATGACCCTCATAGATGGGGTATGAGCCCACGAGCTTGCTTAGCTTATCTTTTTATATTAAAAAGAATAAACTATTATAAGGATATACTCTGGTGTAAAGCGCACACAAAGTTTTGATCTTTGGAGGAATGGTGTTGATTCCATTGGGTATAAAAAAAAAGGGGGGAGGGAGGAGCAATAATGAAGGTAAGGCTTTACTTACATGTTTTACCCTATCAAGATAATCCTTTTTCAGGCACTTCATT